GGGGGGGGGGGGGGGCAACGGTGTGTGGAAACCAAACAAACGCGTGTGTGTGGAAAAAAGTGTTATAACAAAATAAAAGTGTTGAGGAGAAATGAACAGAGGTGGAAAGATGAGAAAAATAAAGATGAGGACGACGTCAGGTGAAAGAAGGAGAGAAGGAAACAAGAGAAGGACTTTAGACCAAGGTTAGGAAGCAAGGGTTCAAACAAGGTCCACACTTCAGACAACAGGTGACCCCAGAGCTGGACCTGGTTCTGGGCTTTAAACACTCGGTTCTTTTGGTGCTTTACTCTGGGGGCCCATAGGGGGCAGTAATGCACCTGAATCACAGTTACCAGACCTGAGGTCAGAACCTCAGTCAACCATGAGTCTGTCGCCGTCAACGGACGAGCGACTTTTACTGTCGACCTGAAGGAATCGTCCTCAACTCACCCAGCAGGACTTTGGCGTCCTCCACATCAAAGTCTCCGTCACCGTCGGCGTCGTAGGCCGCCAGTTTACCTGAGGACGACAGCAGTCAGACATTAGGTGGCGCCGTTGTCTGCCTGGAATCATTCTGTAGACCTATGCTGCACACTGCCCTCTTGTGGAGAACTGAGCTACATACATGCTAACACACGTGAGGACAGACTGGTCCATAAATGAGAGAAGACAGGGGACAGACAGGAGCAGCAGAGGGTGAGACAGGGGCAGCAGAGGGTGAGACTTTACCTTGTAATTCCTCAGACAGATTAATCTGAATGTTCTTAGCCTTATCTGCATGCAGAACAGAGAAAGACATGGGTGAGATTCAGTAGAACAGTCAGACTACAGTCAGAATACAGAGTACAGCCAGACTACAGTCAGACAACAGTCAGAGTACAGCCAGACTACAGTCAAACTACAGTCAGACTACAGTCAAAGTACAGTCAGAGTACAGCCAGAATACAGTCAAAGTACAGTCAGACAACAGTCAAAGTACAGCCAGACTACAGTCAAACTACAGTCAGACAACAGTCAAAGTACAGTCAGACTACAGTCGGAGTACAGTCAGACTACAGTCAAAGTAAAGTCAGACAACAGTCGGAGTACATTCAGACTACAGTCAGACAACAGTCGGAGTACAGTCAAACTACAGTCAACGTAAAGTCAGACAACAGCCAGACAACAGTCGGAGTACAGTCAGACTACAGTCAAAGTATCCAGGTGTGTGTGTGACTGTGAGGCTCCATCAGACTGGTACAGAGAACACTCACCGATGACCCCCTGATAGTCCACCAGGTCAAAGTAGACCACGGCCACAGAGGTCCAGACCCCCAGCAGGGCCAGGACCATGAACCAGTTGAAGAAACTGCTGCTGCTACTGCTGGAACTGGAGCTGGAACTGGATTTCTTTCCATTCATTTTGGGAGCCGGGGGTTTAGGACCATCTGAGAATGAACAGTGAGGGGAGGGGGAAAAAAAAAACAACGTTACTTCAGTTCTATAACAGTCCCACAGGAACAGGAATAGAAAGGAAACGTTGGTGGAACAACGACGTCCTGGAGAGTCAGGGGTTAAAGCACAACAACAACAACAACAACAACAACAACAACAACAACAACCACCACAACAACAACAACAACGTCTCTGATGTATCAGTTTATCTGATAAAGATTTGACAAACATGTGAAGTTGATATTTCCTGGGGGGGGGGGACAAAGCTCTGGTCCTCTGAACTTCATCATCTCTGAACTTGATCAATCAAACGATGGACACGGAGAAGCTGACAGGGCAGTGTTCCAGATGAGGGGCGGGGACCCTGGTTGTCTGATATGTTCTGTGAGATCCTGACAAGAGAGTTCCTCTAATAATCAGATGATTCCACTGAGGTTCAGTCCATTAATCCAACAGTACTAGTAACTGGCACAATCGGTTCTTTCGGTGCATCGGCAGTTGACATATAGACGAGCTGAAGCCAAACCCAGCTGAGGAGAACAGACTCAGTTTGACTGAGTGAAGGAGTCAAGTGTTGACTCTGAACACGCACAGCCTGCCAACTACAAAGGATACAAAGGCCAACGAAACATTAAAGGAACTTCTCTGGACCGGAGTCACCAAGGTTCCAGTTTCACCCCCCCTCCTCCCCCACCGCCACAGTCTCCAAAAATCCTGTAGGTAACAATGCCCCCCCACATCCCCACCTCAGCAAATAATAACCGTCCTGACCATGTTGGGTCCAAAGTTCAAAGATCAAAGTTTTTTTTATTTCCACGGCGATGGTTCTGCTGATGAGCTCCATCTGATCAGGTCAACGTTCCAGTTTGGTTGAAATGGGACGTTTGACCAGATTAGAAAATGCTTCATTTTTGAGGATTCAGTGAAGAACTGGTCAAAGGTCAAAGGTCACACAGCTGAGGGGGGGTGAGGGTCTACAACCCCCCCTCCCCTCCAGCTCACGCAGTGACCTTCTCCTCTCCTCTGTCCTTCTCAGCTCCCTGTTCTGAACAAAAC